GTTTAATCATATGGGATTTGCTTATAAATATAGCTTATTACACTGTATACTAAAATACAATTGGATTCAGATCTGCAATTTAATCTATGATATATTGGAACACTTTTTTTTTTTTTTTTTCACTCAATATCTGTGGCAAATAAATATTTCTTCAAAGTCTACCCTTCCCCAAATCTAATGATCTGATCTTAGGAGTGATTTTAGTGGCCCTAAAAAGAACAGCTTCACTTGAGAAGCAACCAAGCAAGTTTTCAACACTATGATTTTAGTTTCAAAATACGACATCACCAGCCTGTGAAACAAAAAAGAAAAAGGCAAATAAAACTAATATTCTTCACTAATAGACTGTATTAATGTTTGCTACTGAATTCACCGCTAAAAATAAAATGGATTTCATTTACTCACYACAGTACATAGCAGAAAGTGCACTAAAATTATTTTCCTCTTAAAAGTACAAGCTGTAAAAGCCCATTAAAATATAATTACTACCAAAAAGACATTTTACATTTCCTTGAGATAAGCTGCAGTAGCTTAGTGTGAGATTCGACTTCCATTGATTCAGGATTACAGAGCAGCATGTTTAGATAATAAGCAGAAGGATCTCAGATAACAGCCTGAGTGAGTCACCGGACTATAGTGTTTAGTCTGAGCAAGTGTGTTTATCTGAAGGGCTCTTGGGACTAATATGGTTCCTCTTCAAAGCTTGAAGCGGGGGGCAAAAATCATAGTCCTGGAGGTTGGCAGGATAAACACGTYGTGTGATTTGCTGGCAATTTGAGAGATGGATTTCACTACAGAGCACACTGCTGTTGTCACGTTGAAAGCGTCTGCCTGAAAATGAATTCATGTGCACACAGTCCCAGACAAAGGAAAATCTTCCTGAAATGACATGCCATCACATTTTAAGACCAATTTTTCAAGTCTCTGACTCACACTTGGGAAAGATACTGGTGCACTAAGTTTATCATAAAAAGCTCCCATTTTAACAATCAAAAATAGGTGCGATAATCTTGAAATGCATTATCACTGACAGGTACACAAATCCATTTTTCTGCATATTTGCTTGCTTTGTGTCTGGAAAAAAAGTCTTTTCTACATTGGGGCACCTCAGATATTGTTTTGCAGTGAAGGTAATTCGGTGTGATGCTCTTTTAAAGCTTGGCATGAGGTCTAAATCGGGAGTTGGGTGGTGAGTCATAAGGAGCAAACCCGTGGCATGAATAAAAGCTCCTGTGTCAGTCAACAGTTTATAAATACAACAGAAAAGATAAACACTGTGTCTGTTCCAGGAGGAGGAATTCAAAGCAGGCCCCAGGAGCAGCAGCATCTTTTTAAGTTTAAAGAGAGAATGAGAAATGGTAAATGAGTGAACAGAAGGTTTCTCTAACCCCATGTGGAGGCTTTTGTGCCTGGTTGGAACTCTTGGGGATTGTCAGTCTCTAATGACAATTGGGAAGTGACCTGAGCAAGGAATAAAAGCTTCAAGGTCTGAATGTGCTTTTATTTRCACCCATAGGTGTTCTGGAATTCATACTAGTTTAAAGCAGTTATGCGTACAAGCAGTGAGGGTGATGACTCACCCAAGAAGGAAAACCCCCAGAATCCCCACCCTATTCCCACACGTCCTAGGGACAGAGAGAAGCCCATGGKGCAGTTTCAAGGGAGAGTAACTTAAGAAATGTCCTAAGAATAAGATCAAGAACAAGACAGTATGAGCTTTCTTTACAGTAAATAAATTGCATTTCCAGATTTCAGTGAAAGTTTTGATGCTTATTCCATGTGCCAAATTTCAGTCTACAGAATTAAAAAATAATTCTTTTCCTCCTAAAGCTCAATCTCACATTTGCTCTCTCACCTTATATTTTATTTTATTTTATTTTATTTTGTTTTGTTTTGTTTTGTTCCATTTTATTGGCGTATCTCATCTGTATTCACTCCTTCAGTTTACCCCTTCAGAAAGTCATGGCTCTCCCATTGATTTTTTGGCATATTTAAGCTAAGATTAAGCAAAGCTTCATATATTTTAACATTTCTGAAGTGGAATTGGATACCTATGTTTAGACTGTTGAATTCTACCTTTAATTACAATAAAAGACTGATAAGTTGGTGTATTACTGTTTCCATTTTCTCCCTTGATATTTTCGTTTTAATGAAAATCCCACTTAAATTTTTGCTTCTGTGTTCTAGGAAACCAGATGTAGAAATRCTTGTCTTTATTGTGCAAGGTATCAAACTTTCAAATGTTACTTAGAAGAAAATCATACATCTTGACCTTTAGAAGATAAGTCGCAAGGTACCAGAAGTGATTTTCAGAGAAGATTTACATAAAAAAGATCCAAAAGAATCAAGCCTCTTCAGGAAGCAAATATGAGGCTAAATACATGTCTTCTGACTCAGTTGTGTCACTGAATATGAAAACCAAAATTTCTGAAATTCTTTTTTTGCCTAAAGTTGATTACAGAGGGCTCAGACAGGCTGCTGCTCAGTTACCTTACTTTGTTAAAAACAAAGAAAGTTTTTAACTTTGTTTGAATGTAACTTCTGAGAGCTGAGAATCAAAAAAATGATTTCTTAAGTCCCATCTATTTTTTTGAAGCCCCAAACTACATCTATCAATTAAAATATTGAAGATTTGTATCCAGTTTCAGAAATGAAATCTGGACAGAATTAACAGAATTACATTACCACATTATCTTGTCAGTGTTCCACTTGCACAGCAAGGAAAGGAGAATAATATTTGGTGAAACATATTCCATAGAACAGTGACTAAACGTTAGTTTCTCTGACGACTTCTTGTATTTCCCAAATGCGAGAGAATTATAGTTTTAGCTCCTTGATCTCCTAAGGAGATTAAAATCACGATACAAAGTTGATGATGAAGTATTTATGACTGTGAAGGCACCAAAGAGAAACGAAATTTCCACTAGATGATTTAGAACTTGTATAACCATTTCTGACTTTACATAAAATCCACAGAGGTTATCACAGAGCACACGATCATCAGCATAACGAGATGCTTTTTGCTTTATATTTTTTTTAAATCACAAGAGAGTTTCAGTTTGAACTTAAGTGAACGTAACATTAAGCCCTCTGTGAGGAAACAGGCTATCATAGCTGTTGACTTCAATAAGATTTGCAATAAGCTTTGATTTCTTTCTGGGTTGTGTACTGAAGATAGACAGTGAACTCAAAAAGCCTAACAGCATTTACAAAGAAAAACAACTAACCCCAGGATCTAGCTGTTTTTCAGGACTTTCTGAAAAATAAGKCACTAGGAAACTGGGAAGAGCTTCTGCCCTAGAACACCTGAAAAATTTTCTTTGCTGGTAGTCCAGAAATGGAAGTAAAGGGAAACTTAAAGCAGAGCTTTTCTCATATCAGTTAACTTGGAGCTTTAAACTGTATAGCCTTACCCAAATCTCCTGAGGACGTGCTACTGACAGGCCTCTGCTTGCGCCAAAATCTCTGCCTCACATTTCATTACACTTTGGGCTTCTAATATAGAATTTCTTGAAATAAAACTTGAAATAAAACTCTCCGTTCTTTCTCAATTGTTCTTATCCTGAGTTTTCTGTGCACATGCTTCTGATTTACTCTACTTGCTTTACAGCTGGCAGTTCTGATAGTATCCACAATATTGGCAACACCTTCTCACCACAGAACCTTGTCATGTTTAATACAAACAAAATTCAAAAAATTTTTAACAGTGCACATCTCTTTCTCCATCAAATATATACCTACGTTCAACCATGAACAACTGATGTCCCTTATTCCCCTCCCTGTTGAATCATGGCTGAAACAAACTTAAGACAATTACATACAAGAAACTTCTAGGCCTGTTTTAATTAAATTCCAGGCCAAWTAGATTCTTAGTTTTGGAGTGCTGCCTTAAAAATTTAGCTTAGATTTTCTGGAGAATCAAACACACACTTTCAGAGGATACTCAGCAGCAAGTCCCCAGTTAACTGCTGGAACTATTTTAGGCCAAGGAAGAATAATTCAGGGCATCTTTTGAYTCTTGAAGCTGTGTTGAATTCACTTTGAAATTGGCCTATATTTCATTCACAAGTAAAACTCATGCAAACAACAATCTCTCTGAACTACATATGACCTTATATAACTTGATACTGTTYCAGTTCTGACAGATGATTGAATTTTCCATCATTTGTAGTGCCCAGCTCAGATGTTTAGGAAGCTGAGATCAAGGCTTCCAGACATTTATTTCTCAAATCATTTTTTTAAGGACTCATTCTTGTACATGGTGCATATAAACTATGACAAGAGTGATCTCATGAAACTATCAAAGCCTTCAAAGAGAACATGACACACACCTCAAAAAAAAAATCAAACTACTGCAACATTTTYATTAAATGCTAAAAAAAAATTAAGAGGAAAATGAAATAAATTGAATCAGGTAGAGGAGCTCTTTGATTTAACTTCTTTCCTTGCCTTACCATAAGCAAAAAATGTATTTCCTTGACAGATGTCCATACACACGTATATTCATGTTATATATACCCTGTGTGCTCCTTTTGACAGTAAGATCTTTTCTTAGGGGTGAACATTTGATGATAAAATATAAAGCGGAGAGAATAGTGGCTACAAAACCGCCAATCTATAGCTACACCAGGATATTCCAGTAATATATAGAAAGACAGGAACAAAAAACATTTAAGAGAAATGAAAAACAGCACTCATTCATTTTATGATTGTGGAAGATGTTTCTGCATACAAGAGAAAGAAACAAATAAGCTTTTAACTACTACTTGATCAATTTTGTCTATCTCTTCTGGTCCGATTTTGATGGTATATTATACCATTGAAAACCCCTTTAATTTTCTACTTTGTTAATTCCTCGGTATTATTCTGACTCTGCTTGCTTGTATTTGAAACGAAAAGTTTGTTTCTAGCCTTGTGACCTATCTATCTGAGGTTAAGATCTTTGTTTTTCTCTGTTTAATTTTCTCTGGTAGAATAGTTTATATTGGAAAACTACTTACCTGTCCAGCAGTGTCTAGAATGTCCAAATAAGCTGGYTCATCATCAATTCGGACTTGAGTTTTATAGGCATCCTCTGAAAAACAGTGCAATATTGCTAAGCATAGTAGTGGCTCAGAGGGTTGAAAATGAAACAGCTTCACTAACAGAAYCATTTTTTCAAAATCTCTCCAGTCTGACCTAACTTGGCTTTCTTTCAGGTCAAAGAGAAGAAGAGAAACCTTTTGAAATCCTTCCAACCCTGAAAAGTATAAGCAAAAGGGACGTCATCTAGTTTTCTCTGTCAAATATTAAAGCCTCATACATTGAAGCAGTCAATTTGCCTCTGTTTAAAACGACAGCACAGATGGTAGGTGTTGGTTAACTCACAAACTCAGGGGTCTTATGCCCRTTTTAACCTACTTCAATTGCACCACCATGGAGTTTTTCAAGCAGATACTCCAGTTCTGAGCTAAACATTGTCCAAGTTACTGTGAAAATTTCCCTTTGGCTGAGTATCAGATTTTCAGAGCAATTAATTACACCTTAATATATCTCTGCAGAGTATGTAAATTGACTTTTTTCAAATAAATTCAGTAATCAGTGTCCTCACACTCATAAGGGCTGGGAGGGGGTGGGAGGAGTGGAGGGATGAGCTGTGCTTGGTAGATCATTCCCTTAACTCATGATTCTGTCAAGCTAAATTTGGAAGGAGAAAAACAAAATAGGTGAACTAATATTTGTGTAAACCTTTTTTTTTCTTACATTTCTATTTCATTCTCTTCTCATTATTCACATTTCCTGCCTAAGGTAAAATGCAGCTTAGATACAAGGCTATGTTTATACTCAAAATAGTCCTGGAAATTATCTGTGTTTAATTAAACACTAATGCAAAGCAGTTTGAATGGTCTGGGTGATGGCGATTGTGCTTTGGCTGTGCAGTGAGGCATGAAGTGGAGGCAAGTGAATTTTAATACATCTGTGAAGTGTCATTAATCAGCAGGAGCATATGGCTGGGCCTGTCCACTCGCTCAATTCTTTAAGTACCAACTACCAGAAAACCATCAGGTCTAGGCTCTTGATGATATTTTATTGCAGGTAGTAGGAATTATGAGGATATTCAAATTTGCCCGCACATATGTTGAATTACATGAAACACTATAGAAGTATGTAAAAACCTCATCTGCATCTACATAAAGAGCACAATAAAACAGTCAGTTATGAAGAATTTTGCATGGCCTTAATGCTGCCCACTTTTATGTATTCAGTGGCAGGCTATCTTTAATAACATAACWTATACAGTAAATTCCATGGGTATCATTCTTTTTTCAGACCTCAGTTCAGTAAATTGTGTTGACACATGTCATGCCTAAAACACACACCTAATCCCATTGATATTTGGATGACGAAGAGGCTTAATTAAATATGGGATACCGTGTCTTGCTGAGCAGGGCCAGAGCCTTCCAACCTGCTTACATGTCAGGCAACGGATCTCTTTCTTGGAGAGAAAAGCCAGTGCCAAAGGGGGAATGCATATAGTGAAATAAGCTATTGACAGTTCAAGCAAAATATTATAAAATAATGTGCCATGCAGTAGAACTGTTACCTTTTAACCAAAAGTGAAAATCAAAATACAAGAAAACATGCAAATGTAATACTGCTATTTCCTCCATATAAACAGTATTAACACTTTAAAGCATTAAAAAGTGTCTTGACATGAAGACGGGTCCCATTTGCATTATATTCACATCTATATAATCAACAAAAAAATCACATAAATGAAGCTTGCACTCTTGGCTCTGCAGCTAGGCATCCTAAAGCCAACATGCTCTGGTCCTGTTTCTCTCTTCACTTAGACCAATGTAAGTTTTAAYAGAGTAACTTCAAAGAAGTCACTGCAGAGAGACATTTGCAAAACTAAATACAGAATTTAGACAAAAACAAAGCTGGAATCTGAAGAATCTTTGTCTTACTTGCTAAGAAAACGAACGAGGAGTCCAGGGTTAGTTATAACTAAAAGATTCACTGGCCTCTGTGAAAATAARTTGTAACTTTCAGTGTCTGATTCCCTGCTGAGCTACTCCAGTTGTACCCTGATATCATGCCCTGGAATCTGTAGTTTTAACTATGAAAAGGTGGAACAGGGCAATAAGACTGTGTTTAAAGTGCTTTTCGTTAGCAAACATGCAAAAATGTTTCATTTTTATTTATCTTGTTTTGTCAATATTGTCGTCCCAAAACACTTTATGAAGATGTGCCAGAACTATTTTATATGACCCTATTTTTATTCTTAAAGTATGCTAGAATAAATAAATAYGCTTTTATTCTCAAAATACGCTGTTTTTGTTTTTGGTGAAACATATCCTATTGAACATTGACCAAACACATTAACATAAATGATTTTCTGGATAGTTGCATAYGAAAATTTTTTGTTTGTTTGTGAAACTTTGCTTTGCTACAAGAAACGCAGAGACGAAGCAGGAAGAGGATATGACTTCCACTTGTAAAAATCTTTGTGTATATGTGCGAAATGCAGGATATGACAGAGAATTTAGAAAAGCTAAAAAGTTTCCTCATCTGAGATGTGCTTAGTAGGTGTATCCTTGGCCTGTATATGCATGGGGAAAAAAAAGGGGGACTGAACGTTCTTTGTGGAAGTCACTGCTCAGACTTATCAGGAGAAGTACTGTACATAGCCCACCCCTCAAACACTTTTGATCCAAGTACTTTAGAGCTCTAGGACCCAGGCAATTTATTTCTGTTTCAGCAGTAATTGCAATACTGCTAATCAGAAACCACAGAGCCTTTGCATCTGGCCTAAAGGGCTTCAAAAGGCAGTACAATATGGCCAGTCTTCCAGGCAACATAGAGCACATTATGGTCACACTAAAGGATTTGAGAAACTCTGAATTAAAATCAGTGATGGACATGTCATTTGGACGGACAAGAACAGATGAGAAGATATCTCACTGAAACACCATGTGAATCTATTTGATAGGAAACAGGGAAGTCCTCATCAGGAGCGCCAGCAAGTCTGCTGTCTAAGGAGCTCCCTTTAAAAGCTATTCATATTATTACAAATGCTCTCTGGTATATTTATACTATTTGTAATGTATGAATTAACTGCATTTTCTTTCACCTAATTAATAAATGAAAATCACTATTAGTCTTCTGTGAATCTATTTGTAAGGTCCCCAACTTCTCTTTCTCTTACTGTAGCACATATTATATTGAGCATGCAGCTTATTGATGTTTCCATATACATATAATTATAAATCAGTGCTTCCTTAAGAATTTAATTTGCTACAATAAGTTAAAATTTGAAATGAAAATAGGCAAAATATCAGCTAAAAAACTATACTAATCGTCTTGATTTATTACTGAACTTGTCCTAATTTCAAAAGAGGAAAAAAAATAAAACCCAACAAATAGAACCTCAATTGTTTTCTGATTGGCTCACATTCTTTTTTATTATAAATTCTTCCCCGTTTTAATGAATATCTCCTTTAAACCAAGAAGAAATGTATTTTTCAAACATGTTTTCTTAATTGTATTACTGTCCTTTGCTGTATAATATTTCAAAATGAATCACTGAAAAGAAATTTTTATTTGCCTTTTCTGCAAAATGAATACATTTTCTCTTTTTTTTTCTGCTTTCCTTTTTAAGGAACATCATTCTGAAGACAGAAGAACAATAATTAATGCAAGCTGGTGCTGCTATCAATTATCCTAGCACCGGAGAAACTGGATTCATAAAAAATATATCAAACAGCTTTTTCAGCTATGAGCAGGTAACTGCTTCCAGACAAATAGACTTGGATGGCATACAACTTAAAGGGGAGCTGCAATGGACTTTTCATCTGCATGAGAGACATGTTCCAGTCCCTGAAATCTAGGTCAGTCGCCTCATTCTTCCATTAGTTAAGTTTGCTTATATTCCTTCCAAAAAAATATTCTCTCTTCTTCTCTCTCTTGCACACTATTAACTGCACTTAAAAATAAGCAGATTCTTGCACATATAGATGAGCCAAAAAATGTTTTATTTGTCTCAGGAGGTGCCAATCCAGCAGAAGGAAGCCCAGGCTCAGTCAGTCACACCTGGAGTTCTGCCTCTTGCTGTTCTTCTTGTGTGCCAAAGGCACAGCAGGAGCTGCAGCTCTTGGTGTGCTTGGATTATCTGCTACATACGCATTTTAATTTAGAAATGCTTTTGAACATAGGACTGATCTTGAATCTGAGTGGGTGAGGGTTGTTTCTAGTTAAAACAAGGATTTTTTTTTTTAGGAAGAAAGGAATAGATGGACAAAGACTTAACTGCCCGAGATAAAAATTTGCATGTCACAGGAATTGCCCATCAAAATATATTGGCCTTATGATTTCCCTTTGCATCTAATCATTTTCCTGGAGTATGGCTGTTTGGGTAAGCATCGCTATCAGCACTCTGCAGCCAAGGACAAGCCACAGAGGTTGCCTTCCTATGAGCCATGCACATATGATAAGCTATGAATGGCCACAGTAAAACTTACAATTTTGATTACTTTGTATCCTGAAAATACCCATATAGATTGGACTCTCCTTAAAAATAAGGCAAACAGCAATTGTTTAGGAATGTGCCTATCTCATCAGACTAGTTGTCACACTCCTTCAGTATTCTGTTTACAATTCTGCATTTTGTTTCATTGTTCTCTATTATACTGGTAATTATGAATATTTCACGGTGTTCTTCCCAGTACTGGCTGCTTTTTATTTCTCACCACTGAGCTGCTTTTGCCTCTATGCTGCTATTTTTATAGCATTATCAGGTCTTTGAGATTTCGCTCAGTTCTGTGTTATCAGAAAAAGTTGCCAGCTCTTGTTTATAACAGACAACATCATTCCAGGCAGGAGAATCTTGTTGATGGTTTACAGTATTCTGCAAAGATGATCACTGCCTTCCAAGACCTACAGATGGAAGCTGTTTCTTCAGTAAACACACAATTTTGGGCATCTCTAATGTGGTCTACGTTTAAATGAATGAGATGCAGAAAATTGATGGAGTATTCAATGTAGTTAGTGTCTTTCTCTAAGGCTTATTCTTACAAAACAATATAGTGTAGA